CTGATTCAACAGGCTAGAGCATCAGTGTTCCAACTACAATAAACTGGACTGTGGCAATGCTGGTATTCATGGATCAGTAGTTACGAGTTCTGTCACAGCTAGTTATAAAAAGGCATATTTTTCCAGGGATTTATAACCAGCCTATAAAAATTCACTGTGGCTTGAAATATGGGCTTATGAGGTCTCAGCCCTGACTGAAGTTTAATACCCCCCCTCCGTGCAAAAAACGAATGTGTCTGTGGAAGAGAAATCAATTACACCATTTGAGTTACAAGACTAAAAGGGGGGGAGTAATTATAGTTGCTTTGTGCTCTTATAAGTTACACAGCTTCCAATTTTAACAAGTTTGAATTTAACAGATGATTAGTCTATAAACACTGTGTGGCCCAGCACTGCTTGGTACAGAAATGCCATTTAACTTTTACTTAAAGAAAGCCCCCATAGCCCCACCCTTACTGTGAACCTTTGTCACTGTGGACCACATACCACCATCACAATTAATTACTCATTCCACATGCAGAAAGGAAGGGAAGTGTTGCAGCCTTGCATGAAACAAAGTATGAGAGCTTATAAACGGGAGTTGTTAATAATTTCCCAAAACTATAGAGACATTACCAGCCCCCTGGAAAAAGCGTATTTTTTAAATAACACTATTCACTGTGTTTTAAAATTAATACGCAACAAGGAGGCTTGTTCTGATGGAAACCAAGGAAATTCCAAGTTCAAGCAGGCTCCCATTTCTGAATTGGAATTTCCTGACTTGTGTCAGCTGGGTCATTCAGCTAACATATTAAATCAGTTATTAGAACACATTCTTGACCTAGAGGTGCCCAGCTGGAAGGGCCATCCCAATGAAGCAACAGAGCAACTGGTACAGCCTGACTCCCAAACAAAGAGTTGTACCCTTTTAGAGAGGCCATGGTCCTGGACAAGTACATTTTCCAACTTCTACTTTGAGAATTATGTTGTTGTTTTTTAAATTACAGTATACAAGTTATGTAAAACTGGTATTATATCATAAAGAGAAAAATCATATGGAGATAACAGGTGAAGAGAATATGCAGAAATGGCTACTGCATTTGAGTTTTTACCCTTCTGGCAAAGAAAGCTGTCCAATAGCTACAGGATTCTCCTTTTCTAGGATCTTCCCACAATGAGTGTGATTATGCACTTTATTCAATTATGCACTATTCCCCCTCTTGCTTTGGAGGTATTAAAGCTCCAGGGAAGCAAAAAGGAAAAAAAAGGGGTGGATGCTTCATCAGGCAGACCAACCGAACTGCCAACAATGGTTGCAATCCCACTGGCTCTTTACAGCAATGTTAACAACAAGCTATGTTAATCTGTATTATTTTTTAAAAACTAAAAGAAGTTAAGTATAATATCTCAGAGAAAATGATCCCAAATCTATTAAATCTATTAAATTCTCTGAAAAGAGAATATTGGAAAATAACCATTTGCATTTTGATTCTGATTTTATTTGACTGGTAAGGAAAAAGTGACAGAGATCCCTGTTCTCCTTGCTACCTTAGGCTACAGAGCACTTCGTTGACTAAACAACATACATAGGTGGAACAGGGCATTTCTTATCCTCTGTCCTCCACTTATTATCTATAAAGTATCCCAATCTAGACCAGGTTTGAGGGTGTTGTAGGAGTTATTAGCTGAAGAATCCATTTTGCCAGTGTCTATTCCACTAATAGGCAGAAATAGCCACTGCACTGATTCTTACCAATAATGTACATATTTAATTTTTGATTGTTAGCATTTGAACTGTCTTACCTAGTTATCCATTCTCCAAATTTCCAATAATCCTGAAAATAGGAAATATCAACATCAGGGGGTGGGGGAGTGGGGACACACACACACACACAACGACCAGAATCCTCCAAGAGCCCCCAAATCTGTAACTTTGACAAGTTCTACAAATGGTCTTGTATGATTATCCACTGTAAAATGCTTAATTTAAAACCAGCCATGCCACAGTGAAGAAGTAGATGAATTAGCAAGTGTCCAGGAGGCCCTTCAAGTGATTTGAAACACGCCTGTAAGATAAGTATGATATACTCTGCAATTGACATTTATTAAGCCAAGTGATAAAATATATTATACTGCACCACTATGATAATCAATACCCTACAAATATGTAAGAGTGGCTAATTAACATGCTTGTGAAGTCACATCTGTGGCTAACCCTAGCAAAGCACATTAAGACTATTTTTAAAAAGAAATGTAAAACATTTAACACCAGTGGTTGAAGGGTGCAAGCAGGGCAGCTGTTTGGGCATAAAGCAATTTTTCTGCAGGCCTTATGACTCAGATTAAAACACATCTTGGAGAAGTTGCTTATCTTGACTAAAATATGAGAATTGCCAGGTGGAATAGCCATAGGATTCTTGAAATTAGCAGTTGGTTTTTTTAAAAACAAACAAACAAACAAACAAACAAACAAACCACTATATTGTCTGAGGCCTGAAATACATGGGCTAAATAAAATGGCTTTTGATGCTTTGGAGGCATGCCATTTATACAACGCACACCTCCAGTGCAGCCAGAAGTCATACCGAGGCTGTGTTCCAGTCCTTTAGACTGGAGCAAAAAGGAGTTGGGATAATCTGGTCGTGGTGGTGTGCCTTGGGTCCTGCTGCTGCAGCCCGCTTTTGGAGTGGGCTGTGCAGTCGCCGCAGACCCAATCTACTTGCTGCCAAGTGGACCACTCCTTCCCAATCATCTCCTTATCCCTTGAATTCTGGGATAAGGACACCTGGCACTTTTTTGGGGGGTCCAACCACTCCTTGCAGTTAAGCTTCAGAGCCTGGGAATTCTTTCAATCTTGAAATGAGAACAATCCCATCACACCAACATAGACAGGCCTAGTCACATGAATCCTATGCAACCAGTGCTCCTACTATGTAAAAAAGCAAGTTGATATTATAGGGTTATTAGGTCTTTACTCATTAACAACAGACTTTTATTTCTGAGCTGGTACTTGGGGCAAGGTGGAGTTGACGTTTTGGCCTTCAAAGAGTTTGGAAAATCTAGCTGGCCAGTAGGCCCATTGACAATGCTGAACTTGGAATTTTTCAAACTGCAGTGCAAAAGGAAACCTTCTAAAGCTGTGGAACCTCAAGACATTCATCTTATTTAACTTATTTTAATCTAGCTATTTGTAACTTCTTGTGCTAGGATCCCTACCAAGGGAGGATACTAGTAAACCAGCACTGTGGCCCAGATTCATGAAAATAAAAATTGTTTTACGAGTAGATTTTCCATTTGCAGCTCAAGGGTTGGGTCATAAACTCTGGCTTTATTCCCCAACATAACTATAACCAAGTCTTCTATGCTTGCCCATAGCAAGCAGTAACTGGAGAAGGGAAAAATAATTAGAAATGTGTGTGTTTTATATAAGTCTGAGTGCCATCTGTTATTTGTTAGCCATATGGAGCTGGCATTTGCAATACTTGAGTAATACTGTAAAGCAATTGCTGTAACAAACCATTTACGATTTAAATATTTAGTTACAAAAACATAATTAAGATACGCATTTCCTATAGTAACTTTAGTCCACAAAGTTTTGTTATGCTTCCCACAACACTCACAGTGCACTATTTGATCCAGAAATAATTCCTCTGAATGCCTCCAGGTTTTGAAGATTTTAAATGTTAATACAAGGCCTGTTGATGAGACTAAAAAAAAAAAAAAAATCATGTTAAATTTGCCCATCTACCAAAAATAACTGGAAAAGTGGGTAAATTAATGTAAAATGGTTTAATACATAAGAAACAGCCTGATTAGAAGCCAACAATCACATTTTTAAAAACTTAAATTAAATTTCATTACCGTAATTTTGAGTTAAAATATATTAGCAGATAGCATTTTGGGGCCAGTGTGACTGAGACTGAAATGAGTCCAAACTCTCTGCATTTACAAGAAATCATAGTGCATATATAAAAAAAGACTACCAGTTTAGGAACTAGTTCCAGCTGCAGGATTACACACCCCTGCTTCCTCATATACAAACTCTCCTAGAATCCACCCTGCAACACTGTGAATGTGGAACTTTGGAAAACTCTGAACCTTGGCAAAGATTCCAAGGAATTTGAGGGAGTGAGGGTTATTTTTCCCTCCACAAGGTTTTTTTTTAATTTTTAATCCTGAATAGAAAGATCTACAAAATGTTTTAGTGTGTACATATACTCTTTTGCTCTGCCATCACATAACTTCTAATCACACATAAAACCTGAATGTTGGAAAGGACCTTTCAAATTCTGCGTAATACAGACCATCCCCAGGTTTTTAAGTCAGTAATGCAGTCTGTGATTCTGCCAAGTATATCCCTAATCTGTAATATGTGTCAAAGCCTTTACAAAACACAGCCTCAGCACCTCATGCGTCTTGCCTACTTTGCATTCCTTTATCTTTCGTACCATGTGAAAAACACAGGTCTGGATTTGGAAATACACTAAGAAATAGAGATATGTGAGAGCAGAAAATCTCATCTCAACCCATGCAAAATTTTAGTTTTTATATGTCTGAGATGATAAAAATAAAGGATCAGAAACAGCAGATTGTGATAGCTCAGAAAATGAGTTTTATTATGTAAAGCTTCATGAACATTACTACTCAAGAGTCTTCCATCACCACCCCTAGCCCTCTCAGCTCCCCCCCATATGTATTTTCTACCCCCACTGGACTTGTGGAGATGGCTAACTTCAAAACACAAAATAATTTTCTTTGTTTTGCTTTAATGGTGATGGTTTCTTCTGTTTTCAGTGATAACCTTTTCCCTGTTTCACATTAACTGGTAAAGAGTAAGAGATACTACACATAAGAGTTTATCAGTTTATAACTCAATTTGCAACAATTAAAAATAGTAGTAAATTCAGAAAATAAATGTGCAGCTAACAGCCCTATAAAATACACTTTCAATTGTCCACAAACATGGATAATTTTATGAGCATTTTAAATTATACATAGCTGTGCTTTAACATCTTTAACAGTAGTCAACATGGTGCAATGGTTTGAATTTCAGACTACAACTCTGGATATCAGGGTTTGATTCCCTGCTTGACTAGGAAAACCCACTGGGTGATCTTGGGTAAGTAAGGCCTTTATAGACCGCCAGAGATAATGCAGCTTGAGGCTACTTTAACTGTCCTGGCTCAGTGCTAAGGAATCATGGGAACTGCAGTCTATTGTGGCACCAGAGCTCTCTGACAGAGAAGGCTCAATGTCCCAGAAAAAAACACAGTTCCCACGATTCCCTAGCATTGAGCCAGGACAGTTAAAGTGGCCTCAAGCTGCATTATTTCTGGCAGTCTGTAAAGGCCCTAAGTCACACTCTCAGCCCCAGAACCACCCATGATAGTCTTAGCCAGGGGTTGGCAACCTAAGGCCCGGATGCAGCCCCCCGAGGCATTTGGACTGGCCCCGGGCCGGTCCTGCCACCGCTGCCGCCCACCATGATGATATTGATTACTGTTATTACTTGTTCTTGGGGTTTT